CCGCTATCGTTTTCGGGTTTTTCTACTGGTTTTTGATAAATTCAGGTGTGTAAAAGTCGATGGGTGATAGTTATAGTTATAGTGATCGGTTCAAATCTAAAAAAAAAGGAAAAAAAGTTTTAGTGATTTTTTCTAATTTGTCATAACTTGTTATTGTATGAGGAACGTTTCTTTATTTTTAAGAAATTATTAATTTTATAAATGTCTCGGTATTATTTTGTTAATAGTTTTAAATTTCTTTAAATTTTAATACATTGTTGTACAGTATGTCCCCGGATTGTCTTTACAAGAGAAAATACTTTTTTTCCATAGCAACTGTTAAAATTGCCTTATACCTATCAAAAATAGATTAAATGATACTTTAACAGCGAGGATAGGTTAAAAACTTTATTTCTTCTCGCACGTTTTTTAATTGCTTCCATTTTTGAAAATTTTTGTATTCCTTTTCATAAGTTATTCGGGATTTAAATGGAAGTAGTTTGGATATGGCGTTTGTTGCCTCAGCCTGAATATCTGTTGGTAATTTACTTGTTTCGTTTTGAGCCATTTCTGACTCCAATTTAATCAGCAATCGACACCAAAGAAAATTGAAAAATATTTACTCAAAACTGACAACTAAAGAGACAGCTTTATTTATTTGTCAAATTACTTAGGAACCAACGCCAACCCAGCACAATATTTTTTTTTACTCGTAATAAATTCGTTGAAATAATAATTTCTGAATATTTTTCAAAACGTAACTCGCTATAGAAAAAAATATTGTTTTATACACGATACACGCATTATCGTCTTCCAAAATTAATTAGTCTTTTCGGTATAACTATTTTATTAAGGACATTTTGAAAAAAATACATTGTTCATAAAAATTTTTCCTTATTCTAAAATGGTTAATCCCGTTTATACGTTTTCAAATTTCCATACCGTTTTAGAGAAAATCAGAAATAACTTGAAAATATGGTTAAAATTTTAATTAACCATAAAAAAAATATTTGGTTCAATGCTACGGAAACAGTGATGACACTTATCAGAAATTGTGATACTTTAACAACTGCACAGAATATGCCGTTAATCAAAATTAATAATATCCATCTATCAAAGAGTGAAATCGAATTGGTATTACCATAAAGGTTGATTCTCACTATGCCTTCCGTTTCCATTCTATATTCATTCCATATCCGTTCAATACTTTTTATTGTAAAATTTATATTACGAAAGTATTATTTTAAAAATTTGTATCTTTTCAAAAAAGTAATAGATTTAATTAAGAGGTGAAAGAATGAATAAATATTAGCAAAATTTTAACAGAGCTGGTACAAATGTAAGAACTTGACAACGCGGTTTCCGATACGCTTCGGTCCGTCCGCCAAAAAAGCGTATGGAAGAAAAGGATATGGAACGGAAGGGAATCGGAACGGATAGTGTGCATTGTCCTTAAAACGCCTTTTGATTTTTAGGACTTATTTTCATGTTATTTTTTAATTTTTTTTAAAACGGTATGGAAATTTGGGAAAATATAAACGGGATTAACCATTTTGGAACAAGCAAAAATTTTATGAAGAATGCATTTTCCTCAAAATGTCAATAATAAAAAAAATCCTCTTTTAAAGACAATTCGGGGACATACTGTATGTTTTAAATTAATTTTCAATACAACAATTGTGATTTAGCTTCATTTAGAACCTCGAAATTGGTGGAATAAGTTAGTGGTTTCAAATTATATATACTAATATATCAAATCCTTAAGTGACTGACATACTGATTAATCACGATCCTGCTCAAACCACTCAACGTAAGAAGCTCAATTTTGGCATACAGGTTGATTCTAGGGTGTAGAGGTTCAATAAGAAGGGATTTTTCGAAATTCCAGTTCCAAGAGGGTGAAACCACCCCTCAAATATTTCAATATTTTTTATTTAAAAAACGGTCAAGTTTCCGAAAAAACGCTTAAACACGTATATTTTATTTTGTTTTTTTTTACATATTTTAAGATTTTTTTAAAAATGTATACAGGGTGTTTCGAAAAAGCTGGTCATTGATTAATCACGATCCTGCTTAAAGCGCTTGACGTAAAAAGCTGATTTTTGGAAAACAGATTGACTTTAGGGTGTAGAGGTTCGATAAGAAGGAATTTTCCGAAACTCGTATTCTAAGGGAGTTAAACTATCCCTCAAATATTAAAATATTTCTTATTTAAAAAACGGCTACGTTTTCGAAAAAATTCTTAAACAGGTATATTTTATTTTATTGTTTTACATATTTTAAGATTTCTTATAAATTTATACAGGGTGTTTCATAAAATATGACCATTGAGTAATCACGATTCTGCTTAAACTGCTTGACGTTTAAAACTGATTTTTGGCAAACGGATTGACTGTGGGTGATAAGTGAGGGGTTTCTCGAATCTCAAATTCCAAGAGGGTTTCTCTCGAATCTCATTATTCCATTTGTTATGTAAAAAACGGTTAGTCTTTCAGGAAAACGCTTGGACAAGCATAATTTATTGGTTTTTTACATATTTTGAAATTTTTAAAAATCATACAGGGTGTTCCAAAAGTTGGGTAATTTCTTAACCACGATTCTGCTTAAACTGCTTGACGTAACAAGCTTATTTTTGTCAAACGGATTTTTCGAAAGTCAAATTCCAACGAGATGAAACTACCCCTCAAATATTACCAAGTTATATAATAATATCGCCATATTGTTTTTTCTCATGCTGACATAAACGTGAGAAAATTTTATCCAGTTTGTATGTTAATGGAAATTCTTGCTTTGCTTTATCATCACCATTACAAATGATTAATTCGACGCGAACGAAGTCGCTGATGCACGGTATACTTTATAAAAATACAATTAAAATTAATATAACGTTCTAGCAAGAGCTTGCTGTAGTCAGTTGTATCCGTAGAGAAAGCCCGATAATTAGATTAATAACCAATAGACTTTTTATATCTAACCACAATTTCTGTTGGCGGATCAAAGGCCAAAACGACATTACTCGTTTTGCAGTATAAAGGCACCACTGCGACCACTGCGAGCGAAACTAAACTAAGCTAAGAATATAGAAAAAAACGGTAACAAAACGAAAATATGTTTCATCAGCCACTGGGAACGATTTTTTACTTAGGAGTCAGCTAAGTTAGCTGCGTTTTCGGTTTGTGTCTCTGCTATAATAGAATTAATCGCTGCGAAAAATTCGCTGGAACCTGTCACGAACTAAAACGAGCGAAACTAAACTACGATTTGAATCTTCGTTCATCTATTTTCGTTTAGTTTCGCTCAAGTGGCCCCTGATGCATTTAAAAGTATGGGAGCTGATTTTTACAAATCTTATCTTGGCTTGGCTTAGTTTAGTTTCGCTCGCAGTGGCCGCCCGCCTTAATTGGTGGACAAAAATAGTTTGTTAACTTTTTCTACTAACTGAAAATTACTACCACTAATTTTGACGTTCTGACTGCTTAATTTGTGATTAGAAGAACAAACTGGAAGATTTTGATCTGGATATTACGCCACTAGACCAAAAAAGCAAAAAAAAATCAATTCATGTGTCTCATCTAGGAATAAGATTTAATATTAAATATTATCTAATATTTTATTCTTTATTTCATTTTGTTATTTTTTTCTGTAATAATTTTAATTATTTTTTTTTGATTTACTACTTCTTACTACATATTAAAAAAAAACAGTTTTCTTAAAAGTTTTAAATCGTATTTATTAATTTGGTTTAACTTACTAGAAGGTTTAAAAAATCTTGCTGTTCTTATTGTGCTAGAAAATTCATCATCATTTTCAGCTTACTCAACCATTTCTATTTATGGTGTAGCCTCCTTCACATATAAATGATACTCTCTTTGTACTTGAGCCCATTGTTGTCTATTTTTGACTATGCGGGCCCAAGTTATCCCTACCAATTTCCTAATATCATCGTCCCATCTCAAATTCGGTCTTCCTCTAGGTCTTGATCCCTCATGGACACCATGCTGTAATTTTTGTGGTCAATCTGTTGTCCGTCCTTCTTGCCAGGTGTCTTACCCATTGCCACTTGAGGAATTTGATTCTGTGGATCACATCTCTATTACCGTCGTATCCACTCTATTCTTTTACGGTCTTTCTAGATTATACCCAGCATATTCCGTTCCATTGAACGTTGTGCGACTTGCAGTTTCCTTAATAATGTCCGTTTTAAGTAGACTAGAAAAATATTTCTTTCATTATTTCAATTAAATACTATTTCCAATAAGGCTAATTAAAAAAAAATAACATTTAAGTCACTTTGTGTGTCATTGAATGAGTTTAACAGCACCGGCAAGCAACTTTGACCCTAATTTCAAAGTAATTATATAATCGTTTACCTCAAGGTATTTGGAAAATCGTTTATATAATTTATTATTATTTTTAGCTTTCTTAACACCAAAAATAATGTTGCTAATTATGTTAAAATTTTCTGCAAATTTAATTTTGATTTGTTTTAGAATGTGAGATTATAATTTTATTCATTCGTATGAGGTCTTGTTTTTGTGACATGCCTAATAATATAAAAATGTCATGTGTGGGTAACACCTAGGTTTAAAAGTGAAGCACTTTTACGCCTAAGCATAAAGGCACGAAAATATATTATTAAACTGACACAAAGTGCCAAATTCAACGAGCGTAACCATACAAGGTATTAATTTTAAACCTTTTTATATTATTTGAAACGTTTAAAATTGCTTAAAAAATTATTTGTGACGTTTGAACAAAAAAAATAGCATGTTCTATTCGGAGAAATAATGACTTTTTATATCTCGCCTTAATGTCAGAGTTTTTTAACTTGCGTTTCATTCTCTTTAATATTTCCCACAATTTTATCGATGTGGTCGGTCTAGAAATATTTCCAATCTATTTGGCTACGATTTTATCGACGTGGTAAGACTAAAATAACCATTTTTATGTAAAAAATATTCAAAATTAGATTGGACGAATTAGAAATAAGAAAATTATTCATTGGCATTTGTCTGTTTCAGATCGAGGAGGGTGAAGACCGCGGCCCGGACATGACCGCGGGGTACGACAACAACAGTGCCGCCACCAACGGCACGCCAGGGAAGAAGAACGACGATGGCGTGTTCACATTGTCCGTCACGGGAGCCTACGAGAACGAAGGATACAAGGTAATGTTTCATTTACGATCGATTACCGAAGTTAAGCGACGCTAGTCAAGGCGAGCGTTTGGACGGATGTCCGTGTGAAATCCGTCATACTGTTATTCGTCGCATATTCTAAGGTCTAAATAATTAACCCTTAAAAATACTTGCATTTGATTCACGCTGTATAATTTATGTAATAAAATGTTTGTTTGAATATACGCTGTTTCGATCTGCGCGGTGTTTTCAGGGATCATAACCCCCGCGTACAACGAGGTACTCCTATATTTTAAAGCTAAATATTTTATTAAAAATTATTAAGTTAGAATTTCGTTACCATTAGGAATTAAAATTTGATTTACTTGCAGGGAGATGGAGGAGACAACCCCCCGATCAAACCGCCCAGGGAGCTCACAGACGAGGAGGCCTCCCAACAGGGCAAATTCAAAATGTCCACCAAAGAGAAGTGGCGAATCTTGAAAAACGTAACGGCGATAAGTTGCGCTTTCATGATCCAGTTCACAGCTTTCCAGGTATGATCATGCGATATTAATTTTAATAATAATCATGCAATATTAATATATAGTAAAGGAAACAAGTTTAGATTTGAATGCTCGGCTTGCCCAAGGATACTATAGAGATAAGGATAGTTCGATTCCTATCTTCCTGCACTGTCAGTTTTTTTACGTCATCTGATGACCGAGTTGACGTTGGCGCTAAAGATTTTAGACAGTGACAGTTATTTTTGCATTTGACGGACGAGCGCACAGTGCGTTGGAAGATAAATTTAGCGGGACAAAAGCGTTTGGTTAGAAATAAGCCTAAAAATGTGTACTGTAAGAATAAATAGTAGACATTCCAATTGATAGAAAAATGCATGAATATTCTTTGTACTTCGATACATTTTTATCAACCAAATTTGGTCGTTTTCTGCTCGGCAAGGCAGAGATCATACGAAAACAAAATATTTACAAGTGCTTATACATTTTATTCCTAAGCCAAATTATGTTGAAGATTGCCAAAGCTATGTACTTTTCTACTGTACGTATATTATTTGTTAAAATCCTTCGTGCCTTTGTTCTGCAGATATCAAACTTTCACTTTTTTTCAAATATCGATATATTGAATGATGTAGATCTTTTGAGTTACCAATAGTTACCAACACAGGTAGTTACAGTCACAAGGAGTTCAAGCTTAACAGGTGAATGCCCAAAAAGTTTAATTTCAATCGGATAGTATAAAAACAAAACAACTCCATCAAAAGGCACTGAGTCTTAGATACTTACTATATATAAATTTACAATTACCGAGCGTTAAAATTAAAATTAAAAAATATCTGTCTTAATTAATACTTTTAAAATAAAATATAATTTTTTAAAATTAAATATAGAGGGTGTCACAAGATTACAAAGTAATTAAAAAATAACTGCTAAAGAGTTTTTTGTAAGTATTTCACCTGATATCATAATTTTATGTATTTGGCAATAGTTTACAATACGGTTTTTTGTATCATGAACGAATAATATCATAGTTTTATTACCTTGTATTTATTTATTACTAAATTTAAGTTGTTAATAAATAAATAAATTTAACCATATTGTTCGGTATTTTATTACTATTCATTTTATAAATTTAATTTCGCGCATAATTTTTTTGTTCATAAGAAATGTTCGCCCGCTACGCCATTGCGCCTCGGGCAGGAAACTACGACTCCGAGTGTGACTTCGATATAGTCCGCCGCAGACTCAACTGGTCATTTTCTGTATCGCGATATCCGAAGAAATTAAATAGACTTTTTATCCACGAAAAAGTGCAAGAACGTGCAAGGAGCTGACTTGGAAATAAGGTAGGCGAACATCCGCAATAATTCTTTTTGTTAGTATCTCAATTAACTTTTAATTTACCTAAATTACTCTTCTTATTTTCTTAAACTAAATAAAACACCAGAACCAGCCCCAATGGATTTATTGTTTAAACCCATTTAAATATAATATAAAATAAAACATTAATTGGTCCTTCACATTCGGATTTTTAATTAAGATTATTTCTATAATTTCATATAAATTTGCAAAATTATTAATAAAATATATTTTTAAAGGACAAGGTCATTTAAAATTTGGTCAGTTCTTGATTTAAAGTACCTGAGCAACGCCGTACTACGCCTTATCCTTTTAATTTTTTTGCACGCTATACGCATTCTTCGCATTGTTTATCCCTTTCCGCACATACCTGTACTTGCCTATAATTTGCAGGTCAGTATTATATTGATTTATAATATAATTTAGTTTTTTAAATATTTTAATTCGCTTTTTTTAGTAAAAATTTTCTTATTAAAATAAATATGCCGCCTTCAAGTTCCGAAGTAGATAAATTAAAAAAGGCCAAAACCTTGCGAAATACGGAAATAAATCGTATTCGTGACACTTGGCAAATTGCTTCTGAAGCTCAAAAGGATACCAATATACAACCTGAATTTATTCAAAGATATCGCACAATTGATACAATTAGTGACGCATTTGCTAAGCAACATAATATAATTTGTTCCCTTCTTGAATCGGATGAGGAATTCGCAGTTGAGGATGAAATACGCAAAGAATTTGAAAGTAAATATTTTTCTACTAAGGCAATTTATTATAATATATTTGAAAAATCTCAGAGCGCTAGTCCATCTACGAGCCGTGATATAACGCATGATTTACCAAGACCGAAACTTCCGGAAATGAAATTGTCTGTTTTTTCGGGTGACTTAAAATCGTTTACATCTTTTTTAGAAGTATTTAATGCAATAATATATAATAATACTCATTTATCGCCGATCGAAAAGTTTTCTCATTTAATTAATTCCCTAGAGGGTGATCCAAAGAAACTGGTTGCTAGATTTCCATTAACTTCGTCAAATTTTGAATCTGCTTATCAAGCTCTAAAATCTCGCTATTCAAGTAAAAGACTACTAGCAACTTACCATTGGAATGAGATAGAAAATTCTACTCGTATTAACTCATCAGACTCCCCCGCATTAAGAACTCTTTTAGATACATTTAATGAAAATATCGCCGCTTTAAAAAATCTTAACTATCCAGTAGATTCTTGGAACTTTATTCTCGCAAACATGTTTTTAAAACGCTTACCGTCTTCAGTAGTTACCTCTTTTGAAACTCAATTTGGTTCTAATTCTGAAATGCCAGACTTTAATAACATTCTAGCTTATGTAGAAAAATGTTGTACCGCATATGAAACAATAACTTACAATGGAGATTTAAATTCTTCAGTTTCCGCTATATCTAACCCGCAAAATATTAAAAGTAAATGTCAACGCAATATTAATTCTACGCTACGCAATTCGCAACGTCATAATACTTCTTTTCATAAGAGCAACGCATTTTTTACTTCTTCTCCCGCTAACAAAAATAACTTGAAAAATTGCGCAATATGTAATTCAACCGCTCACGCTATATATACATGTCCTACATTACTTAATAAAACCCCAATCGAACGCTTTAATTTGGCTAAAGATAGAAAACTTTGTGTTAATTGTCTAAGCAATATACATAAGACATCAAACTGTAATTCGGAATCATCATGCCGTACTTGCAAACGCCGCCATCACACTTTATTTCATTTTTCGAATTCGTCGCCAATTACCGCTACACAAAATTCGCTCGACTCTAAGTCCGGCCCTGTTCCTACTTCTACATCTGATTTATCTAGTACGCCAAACGAAATTAGCCCTTCAGTGTGTATTTTCGGTGTCAAACGCGATATAAACAAACAAACCGAAATAAATATCGATACACTGCCGTTTTCCGATCTTTTGCCTACAATTCGCTTAAGATTTAGAGATGCTTTTGGAAATTACCAAATTATGCGTGCTGTATTAGATTCCGGCAGCGAAGCCTGTTATATTTCTCGTAAATGTGTAAATATATTAGGTTTATCAGTGCGTCCACAAATAATTGATATATTTGGTCTCGGTACCATGAAAACGCGAAGTGATAGTGGTATTGTACAAGGCGTAATTGTACCTTTAAATTCAGAGTCCCCTCAGCTAATTATAGAAGCTCTTGTTTTGGATCAAGTCTGTACATCGAATATGCCGGTATGTAATTTTAATATATCAGATTGGGAACATATAAAAAATATTAATCTTGCCGATCATTCATTTAATATTAGTCAGTCTGTCGATATGATACTGAACGCTTCGGTGTTTAATAAAATTTTACTTGATGGTAAAATTCCCGCGCTAAATTCTAATGTGCCAGATGCAATAAATACATTATTTGGATATATTTTGATGGGAGATATTTCTTCACGCTCGTCCTCATACTCTCTATCAAACTCTTTTTTTACTAAATTTAATTGTGAAAACGTAGAAAATGTAATTTCAAAGTTTTGGGCTCTTGAAGAAATAAATAATAAACAATTTTATTCGGACGATGATACTTATTGTGAAGATTATTATACAAAAACGACGTTTCGTTTAGATTCCGGTCGCTATGTTGTTTCGCTTCCATTTAAAAATAATATCGAGCCTTTTTTCGAAAATTCAAGATTACCCGCACTTCGCAGATTTCTTTCTTTAGAGAAAAAACTTAAAATAAACCCCGAATTAAAGGTTCAGTACAGTAATATAATTCAAGAATATATTGACAATGGACATTTAGAGTTAGCTGATCAGACTATCGATAATAATGAATATTTTATACCGCACCATTGCGTTTTTAATCCACACTCTGTAACAAGTCCAATTCGCATAGTTTTTGACGCGTCCTGTAAGGATTCTAATCATATATCTCTTAATGATTGTCTTCTGAAAGGACCTAAATTACAAAAGGACATTTCCGCTATTTTATTAAATTTTCGCTTATACGCTATCGCAATAACTGCTGATATTAAAGCTATGTATCGCCAGATCCAACTAAATCCTAAATTTTATAAATTCCAAAAAATATTTTGGCGCTTTTCCAGTGAGGAACCCGTACAAGAATATGTACTTAAAACTGTAACATTCGGAGTTAACTCATCACCCTTTCTTGCGTTACGTACTATTAATCAATTAGCAAATGACGAAAAGGAATTATTTCCTCACGCTTCAAAAATTCTTCTTTCTGATAATATTTTTGTGGATGATATTTGTACAGGGTGTAACACAGTGCAAGAAGCTACTAATCTTCAATATGAATTATCAAATTTATTGTTAAAAGGTGGATTTGAATTAAGAAAATGGTCTAGCAATAATAATGATTTTTTAAAGACTATTCCTGAACATCTTTTACTTAAGAATTGCATAAATTTTGATTTAGATTCTGCGTTAACTGTAAAAATTTTAGGACTTAAATGGAATCCAACTGAAGATAGTTTTTCTTATTCTGTTACGTCATTTAATGTAACTTGTACTAAACGTAATATGCTATCAGAACTCGCTCGCATATATGACCCTCTTGGTTTCTTAACCCCTGTTACGCTACTTTCAAAACTATTAATTCAAAACCTTTGGTCGCTTAAATTAAATTGGGATGATGTACCTCCGCCGCAA